GGGAAAGAGATGGGGGCAAAGCTGCTAAAAGCACTGCACAACCATTTCTTAGAATCACAAAATCATTCAGGTTGGAAAAGACCTCTGAGTCTAACTGTTAAACCCAGCACTGTCAAGGTTACTACTGAGCCATGCCCCCAAGCACCACATCTACATGTCTTTTAAATCCCACCAGGGACAGTGACTCCACCACTGCCCTGGGCAGACTGGTCTAATGCTTCCCAACACTTCAGGTGAATAAATTTTGCCTAATATCCATCCCAAACCTCCCTTGGCACAACTTGAGGCTGTTTCCTCTTGTCCTGTCACTTGTTATCCAGGAGAAGAGATCAACCTTCACCTGGCTACAACCTCCTTTCAAGTAGTTGTAGAGAGTGAGAAGGTCCCCCCTGAGCCTCCTCTTCCCCAAGCTGAGCCCTCCCAGCTCCCTCAAACACCAATGTTATGCAATATAGTGGCTCTTCAATGGGCTCTCTGAGATACAGTTCTTTTGGCACCTAGAAAGAATTTTAGGCTGAGGTATGTGCTGTGACCTATGAGTAATGGGATGTCAAAACCAAATCAAACAAGACCAGAAGAGCAACAAATCCCAATATTCTTCCTAGTTGTTACAGCAATGTTAGCAGGACATGCCACAAGGCTAAAAATAGAAACTCAATCCTCTCTGGATTTTCAATAATAATAACAAACCTGCAGAACTTCATAAAGAAAAAAGCTGTTTCTGCTGTAAAGTTTTATTGTAGGGCACAAACCCCTCGTCTTAAGATGCTGAGTATAAAAGTATTGAAATTGTCTTGTAAAAGCTGTTTTCTTTTTCAGCCCTATTTCCAGAGCTCTGGATCACTTCATCCCTTTAAAGCTTCCTTTGTTTGCAGCTTGGTTATACACTAGCTGCTCACAAATCAAGCACTGCTAGCCAAAATATGCATGTATCACCACACTTATCCCTAACACCAAACACTGTCTAATAGCCACCTGCTACTTCTGCATTTGCACCACATCCTTTCCCAAAACAGCTCAGAGTTAATTTGATCACCCTTAAGGGAACTAAATCATTAAATTGGTTGGACTACACAACTGGATATAATAAAACCTGCCCATATGCTTCTGCTGAATAATGCTCTCAAGCTTGCTTTATGTTGAGTTTCCCCGTTCTTCAGGAATACATCTTGTTTTGGAAATGCAATTATCCTCACCTCCTTATTAGACAGAGATAATTAGTGCACCCACAGCCATGTGGATGCAGGAATTCAGTGTTTGCTGGGTTTCAAAGTCAGGAACAAGACCAGACCCACAGCTGACCCGGACTGCAGGTTCTGGTGGAAGGAAAAACCTTTTGGTGATGTTAATGCCATTTTCCCAGGGCAGATGTGGTGGCAGAGCTAGAGGTCATTGCTTGTCTCTGACACCATCCAGGAGAGCCAGAGCAGCACCAAAATCCCTCACCAGAAGCTAGGACAGGCAAGGTGCCAGTCTGCCCATGGGGACAGTGGTGGTGCTATGTCCTAGGGAACAGCCACTATTTCCTCCCAGCGTTTCTAGTTTTCAGAACTCTGCAACCAAACCACACACACAAGCTTTGCCAGAATGTGACTGAGACAGAGAAGGGACAAACCCCCCATGGGGGTTGCTAAGCCAGCAGTGGTTTGCCACATCCCACGAAGGTAGAAAGACACCTAAAAACTGATGTCAGACATCCTAGTTGGAGCAAAATCTCTAATAAATTAAACCTCCTTGCTCCAGCATCTCCAGGGGTCAGGGCCACTGCGGGCAGGTACCGCCTGAGGGAGACAAACCCCTTCCCTGGACACCAGCAGCCCTGCTCTCTTGCATGCTTCCCTGCTCTTCCCTCACACCAAACCATTTGATGGAGTCCTAAGTACCTTTTTGTTAAGGATGCAACAGCAGCACAAGCTGGTTCTGCAAAAGGAACCCTCTCTCCTACCTCTCTCCTTCTGGGCAAATGCTGCTTTCATCTAGGGAGGTTCACAGGGCAAATGGAAACTGCAAACACCTCTAGAATTCCCTTCCAATCCTCCTCCCTTGAGCTCCATCACACACAAAAAACTCATTAGATGCTTCTATGCTTTATGGACATTCAAGGGGACCTGAGCCAGGGCACAAGGTGGCAGAGACAAGGAGAGAGTTTTCCTAACACTCCTTCAGGGGCTAAGAAAAAAAAAAGAGGTTAAAAAAAAAAGGCATCAACCACAGGATGGAAAAGGCTAAGAAGCCAAGAAGCCCCTTCCAGAACATCAGGCAGTGCAGGACTCACTGCACCCAATTGAAAAAGTAGGAGCAGAGATGGAAACATGCTGTGATCATGATGTAATGGTTTGGTAAAAATCACTCTGTAGATTCTCCAAGTGCATGCATGGGAGTTGCTCCTGGCTAAGCCATCAAGCCCCTTGGAGCTGGAGCACTATGGCCATCCAAGTGCATCAATGAGGGGAACCAGCCAGGAGGCTACAGTTTGGGAACTGGCCAGAAAAAGGACTCCCTCCTCCTGCACATCACAGCAGGACATCTCTGCTCCCAGAGAAAAATTTTAGGAGATGGGCAAATGAGGATCTATCTCAATACCTGAGGCTCTTTCACCAGTGTCCCCAAATTTGGCCACTTACAGTAGTAAGTTGGACAAACCCCAAAGCCTTTGCTACCTTCGCAGTCTGGTGAACTCTTAGGCAAGAGCACAAATACCACCATGAAAAGGCTGAAGTATTTCACCCCTGTAAGCAAGAATATTGCACAGGCTTCTGAGTTTTAGGACTAAATCCCTCACAAGCTATTGCTGATGAAGGAGAGAAGGGAAAAAAAAAAGAGCTCAAACCAGGCAAAGAAATCAAGTCATGGGAAAAGACTGAGAAGACCAGAGTGCAGATGCGAAGAGAATAAAAACAAGAGGAATAGTGGAGTTACCGGGTAACCATCACGTCCTGACTGCCCCTGTGGGGGGGGAACAAGGGAGATAAGTCAGTCAATGCACCCATAGCAGCATGACAACACACAGCACCATGCAGGAGACCATCAGCTCTCCAACTGGCCCTGGCACTGAACTCCAGAGAAACCTCTCTCAAGGCAATTTTTCCTATGAGAAAGGTCACACCTACAGCACATTTCCCCCAGATTTTGATCTTGTTCTTCCCTTTGGCTACTTACCAAGGGCTTTGCCAACTCACACCCATGCCTGCTGCTTTGTGCTCAGCCCCTGCCACTCCTGAGGCCATGGGGATGCATGGCATACACTGGATCCAGCCCATAAACCTGCCTTGGGACATGGGTACCACAAGGTGTGGAGACACCCAGGTGCTGTGGAGAGGTTGAGGAGGCTGTGGCTGCCAAACCAGTGGCCAGGACAGCAATCACTGAGCTTCAAACTCCTGTTCCTGCACTTGATTCAATAAAGGTTTCCCCCTCCTAGGTCCATTAATTTCCTTGCAGGATGCAGCTCTCCCATCTCCCATCTAAGCTTTGCTTTACTTTGCAGTGAAGCAGAAGGCACAGGGAAAGACCTGACTTAAGTTGCTCGTAACACCTGCAAGATCAGCAGAATCAAACACAACCCATTCAAGACATTTCATCTCTTCTGCTCTCCTCAAGAGGTTCCCAAAGGTGTTTACAGCTCGAGCTGCTGTTAAACAAGCCATGAGCTACAGCAGAGAGCCTGCTGCAAGCCAGACCTAAGGCAGATCCCTGGGAAGAAGCTGTTAAGTATTAGCTGGTACACAAGTAGGCAGTAAAGTGTGTGTCTGCTACAGCAATGTCATCTGCTACCATAACCAGAGGCTGTGTCAGCATGCTGTGGGCAGGCAGAGGGAGTCAGGCATTTCTCATGGCATGGAACAGCCTCTCCATGCCACACACAGGGGCTCTCCCTTCCCCTAAGTGCCCCTGCAGCTTTTGATGCCTCCTGCAGCAGCTCCTGAGTCAGCCAGAAACAGCACTGACTTGGATAACCACCTATTTAACAAATTATAGTCTTGGGCTAAAGCACACACGGAGATTTTCCTGGAGAGGTATGGCACTGGAGCACACAGGAATAAATAGGAAACACTTGTAACACCCAGCTCTGATTTGCTGGTGAGTTCCCCAGCCAGCATCCTAATACATAACGTGTTTGCTAATATCTGGGACTGTAAATGTTTAATTACAGTCTGTGGCAAGTCTATCTTTCAGTTGTAGAAGTTTCCTACCCAGCATGTGATTTTAATACCCTCCAAAACAGAGGTTTTATAGCATATCTGAACAGAATACCCCTTACTCACAGAGAGGGCAATCAATCAATCATCAGCCAACAGCCACAAATCCTCTGCCACAAATTCTAATAATTTCATATACATAACTAGCTTATGACAGCCAAAAAAAGTAAAATACCAGAACAACTGCTACCAAGGAACAAGAGAATTGAGGATACAGTTTGAGCAGTGTGATGCTGTACATGTAAGAAGTAATCAATCCCTTATGGGCAAAATCAAGAAACAGAAGAAACTAATAAATACAGTACTGCTGAAATAAAATAATATTGTGGTTCTGTGGGTTCTAGGACTTCTTATATATTATTCTTCAAGTCTCTGGCAAATGCTGCTTGTGCAGGATTAAAAGAAAAACAAAAAAAACAACAAACCAAAGCAAAACCCCAACCAAAAATGAAATAACCCAGGAGTTGCCTTTTAAAGAAGGGGGGGGGGGGAGAAAAAAAGGTCTTGTTTGTGTTAAATCTCCCCTGTGCTCCTTTTGCAATTCAATAGTGCCGTGGGAACCAGGAAATGAAAGCAACTAGAGACAAAGAAAAATTAATAGTGCACCATATGTTGCCTATGTCGAATCTCATACAATAAACGTGACCAGACAGCACACGTGAGGCAGAGCAGCCCAGGCAGCTGCGTGTGGGCTGATAACAGCCTCTGAGCAGCAGCAGAACCAAAGCAGATACATAAACCCATTTGAAATAAGCCAAAGTGCTTCAGCCAAGAGGAAAATCTCCCTTAAAAGGTGTAGAGATGGAGCTTGAAATAGGTAGTATCCCAGTATCCTCTTCATTTGTAGCCTGCCATTGAGTGAGAAATGATCATTATTTCTTTTTTAATAGCTAAGCCAAATTGTATAAAGGGAAATATAAATAAAAAAGTGCCAGGCAAAAGCCCTGTAGGGACCAGCTCCAGTAGCCACAAGGCCTCCCAGTCTGCATGTGCCCAGCAGAAGATGCTCTCCACAGCCTCCCGGTTTGCTCCTTCAAAAGCCACCCAAATAATCATTTTGTTCAACATCCCCTTAAGTCTTTACATCAAAAAATGAACTTGAAATCAAAGCAAAAATTCAAAGGGCTGAAATCCCTGACGTAAATCCACAGGTAGCACTGTCCATCCCAGGAGATCCAAAGCCATGGTGCTGTGACAACCTCCACATTTCAGGTGCATACCTTATCACCTTTTGGCTTTTAAACACATTTACAGAATGGGAAATGAATTAGCCCAAGGATAGTTACCAAATTTATTTTTCCTAAAATGGTCCCTTTTCAACCCAGTGAGGCTCTATAGGAAGAGAACCATATGAAGAAAAATCTCTTAACATAACGATGGAGAATGAAACGTGGCTGCAAACAGCCTGTGCCTCTCCTCCTCCTCCTTCAGGGGAAGAAAGGTAGAAAACCAGAAGCACCTAAGACCCACAATTTATATTTTAAACAATCCCTCACAGCAACTTGGAGGGCACAAACAAAACATCAATTCTAACTCCAAAAACCAGCAGGAGAACAACAGATTCGAACGTGGTGGCACGACTGAACGTCTGGAAGGAGGAGTTGACACATTTTCAACTATTACCCCTTCAAACAACTATTTCCCCATAAATATTCTGGTTGCACTGGTAGGAATGCTCATTATTCTCCCCAAGACTTCAAAGAGAGAAGCAAGCAGGCTATGGCTTTCCCTCCAGCCCCCCTTGTGAGGTGACCAAACCCGTATTAAATGATGGAAATACAACAGATAAGAAAAGCAAGACAGAGCTTTAGAACCCATAAACCCACTAACATGTTAAAATATTAGTACAGAACTTTCTGCTAAATGGAGACAGACTAAAGAGTTCTTTTAAAAGAAAAACTCCTTTTCCCTGAGTCTTTTCTGAGCTTAAAATTACTGCAAGTCCCTCAGGGCAGCAAGTCAAACATTTTAAAGTTCCCCCCTCTTCTATTTATCTACAATCATGAAAAAAAAATACAGCAGCATCTGGTACCAATTTTGCTTCCAGACACACCTCTACCAAAAATATGCAGGGGAAGGGGAAGCCTTAGCTTTGTTGATCCAACAGTAAAATCCATGATACTTACTGCAGGTCCTGGAAAACAAAAGAAAAAACAAAGAAAAAACGTCACTTAATTACAAAGAAAAAGTATAATCCAATAAAACAGCACATAGCAGGAACCAACATCAGAACAATTCAGGACTTTCTGGTTCAGTTCTTATGTGATAACTTTCCAGATACACCTAACACCATCCACATCCTCCTATTACAGGACCATCTCACCTGTGCTGCTGGCACAGCAGTACCAACAGAGGTGTAAAACCATTATTTTCCCATCTTTTCCCCAGTATCACTCTGTTCCCTCTGCCCCCACAAGACCCTGGGCACAACACAAGGCATCACCCATGTGCAGGGCATCAGGGTCTGGGCCATCCCCTGCAACTGCAGAGCTTTGCCAGCAAAAAATAAGACAGACACAGCTGGAAAAATGTGCAAATTTTTATGAACAGAAATTGCCCAGGCTGGTTCTATGCAGAAATGAACACCAAGCCCCTAATATCCAAACCAATCCACACTGCACTCCTGTTCATGAAACAGCCTATAGCTCTCTTTGGGGCTTCTTCATGCTCTGATTCTTCCTGATCAAAACCAGAAACTAGTCACAATTAGAAGAGAAAAAAACGTGGGAAAAATTAAAATGGAGGGAGGGGACAAAAAAATAAATCAGCTTTGTTCATCTTATGCTATTCAACAATACAAATCAAGAAGCATATTTCAAGCTAATGCCTTTTCAACGTTTTTAAAATTTGTTTTAAAATTGAAACATGGCTAAGTTGAATAAGAAAACCCAAGAAAGCCTAAGGATGAGGACTGGCAGCAAGTCATGACTGGCAGTGCACCAAGAACTGTCTCATTAACCTGTGTCTGTCACCTGAACGTGGTCAGTGCCACACACAACCATGGCCAAGTCCCAGGCAGGAGACAACCTCCCTGTCTCCCTCCATGCCAGCAGCCTATTTTCTTTAGTGCCAAAATTCACACAGTTCTTAACTCGTTCTCCTTGGTTTAATTTCTTCTGAATACAGAAGTCTGTGGCCCTATGCCAATTTATTAACTGAGAATCATAAACCTGATTTATTAACTCACACCAAGCTACCCACAAAAGCCCTTTTGTGGAAAAGTCAAGGCTAAGTCTCAAGCAAGAAGTGGGCAGGAAATTATTTGAATATGGGATTTCAATCATGTACCAATTATAATCTCTTTGGAATTTGTTGCCTTTTTTTTTTCTTTTTCTCTGCTGCTGTTTTTTCCTCCGACACGTTCGGGCAAGTGTTCTTTTGAAATGTTTACTTTCAAATCCAGAAATCATAGCTGGATGGAGGGTCTGTGTATGCACCCTGGGATGTTCTCCAGCCACATCAGTGGAGTTATGCTAATCTTTTGCTGTGCTGTTGGCCAGACAGGGCTAGATAATTCTTCATTAAGGCATAAAGTTAAACCTATTGAACTGATCTTTTCTCCTCCTAGGAACAACATCACTTTCTGGCTTGCTAAACATGTTTTTCAACAGCCTAGCCACAACAAGACACTTGTTTCCTGTGGAAGAAAGTCAAATATTTTGCAAGTCAACAATAAATAGAGAAGCTGATCATGTACCCAGGGACTGTCCCCCCCACATCAGGGAGGGCACATTGCACAAGAGACTTGCTCTTCTCAGAGAAATTTGCCAGACTTTACTGCTAATAATTCTGACTAGTAAGAATCAGCTTGAGAGCTTGAAAGGAAAAATGAAACCACTTGGAAATGCTTCTCATAAGGAACAAAAGTTGGAAACAGTCTTTGTGTATTTAAAACCACATAACAAATGAACTTGGGAGCTGATTTTAGAAGAAAGAGGTGAAAGACAAAACCTGCAAACGTACAGATTTTGTGCTATGATTGATTTGTTCTGATTAAGGATGATGCCTAAGCACCTGAGCCTGCAAGGGCATGGAGATATTGGGAAGCAGCAAGAGATTCCTTAAGAACACAGACAGCTGTGCTAGCAGGAGGTGAAAATCGAAACTCATTAAAAGTAAATGACCCAGATTTCCCGACTGACTAACATTACTGTTATTTTGTATATCCAAAGCCCTAGTAGGTCATAGTGGCATCATCCCCAGCAGTACACAAACATATGGGAAATGACAGGTCACAGTCCTTGATTTCCAAGTACTTTTGCAGCTTGGGAATTTTAGGATACAAGATCATTTCTCTTGAATCTGCAAATCATTCATCATGCAAGTTTTCTTGCCATGGGAGGAGAGAGCCAGGCAGGGGAAACAAAACCAGTCAGACCTTTCCAACAGCCCAGGCAAAGTCAGAGGGGACTTTGCTGCAGCCCTAATGGGCAAAGTGCTCATCCCCAAGGTGGCAAACACACATCTGTGGCCACCTGGAGATGTAAAAAATGATGATTTAAAAAAGAAAAAAAAGAAAAAAAGTAGTATATACTCACATAAATATCTAAATCAACACATAAGTGTGTGTATTTACATACACACACAATATGTATATACATACCCATAGAGTTGTTAATTCAGGGGAGAAACTGAGTCATGGGCAATAAGGAAGGACAACTACTACCACCATAAGAAGTCACAGAGAGTCTGGGAAAAAGTATTTGTCACTGTATATTGACATCTAACTCCTATCTATGCCTCAATTCTGGGGCACACAGGAAATAGGATCTCCTAGCAGGGCAAACCTGGGACAGATTAGATTTTCCCTGAAGTTCAGTAGAAAATGAACTATGAGGCTACACATAAGCAGTTCATAATGAGAGATACAAGGAGCAATGCAAATCCTCAAATAAATACAAGTGTATACAAATCTCTGCTTCATTTACCCACATGCACCCACACATATGTGCTCATTGAGTAACAACTATATATTTAGACTTGTCCACTCCATCACACAGCCAAGAGGGTTGAAAGTGCAAATCTTAATGAGTAAAATATGGGATTTAAGTACATGTAGGGCTGGGAGAGAAATAACACTTCCCTGCATAGAAATCACTTTGCATTTTTTCCCCTTATAAGGTTCTTCCTGGCTCCAAATCAGGATATTTGTATATACAGAATTGTTGTAGGGGAAAAAAACCCAAACAAACCCAATCACCAACCCAAAGAAACCAAAATAACTTTGAATTAAAATTTTCTTAGAAGTTCAAATTAAAGCAACACTTGGAGCGTAATGTAAATTTAAAAACCAAAATCATGGGTGGTAGACAGAAGGCTTTTATCCCAATTCAACAATTTCAAGACATTTCCCCAACAAGTGTTTCTGAAGTGGAAAAACTTTGTAAGCAAAATTTTTATCACAGAAAACAGCAATTATGCCAAGTCAATACTTTCCAAATAAATAACAGTTCATCAAAAAATGCCCACCCAGGTCTACCTGTAAGGACAACTCGGTACCTAAGCCAGGCAGTGTTTATCCCCTTGGGCTAAACAAGAAGAGATGTACCCAGAGATGTCCCAGACTGAACGTGGTGTAGTATCTCCTCTTTTATCTTGAGGGCTTTTGAGGTTCAGATCAATTTTTGGATCCGTGTTTGAGCCAGGGAAGAAATCAGCCTGATGTTACAAGAGACATGAGCTTCATCTCCCACCATCTAGTTGTGCAAAGACTTTGAACCAATACTTTGACTAATTTCCCAAATCCTAGATCTGATTCATCCATCCTTCAGGAACACCTCAGGAAGGATCAGTCTTCAAAGAAAATAAATGTAAAGCTCCAGGAGGACTGTGCATCCATACCCCAGCTCACTCACACAGCAAAAGGGAAGCAAAACCTCCCAGGTCCTTGGTGAAAATCCCTGTTATTTCAAAAACACTCATTCCAACAGTTGAACTGTGTCCTTACTGGGACATATCATATTGAAAAAATAAGCTAACATGACATTAAACCCGATTTTGTCTTCAGCATGGAAAAAGAACTGTATCTGAGCTGTGCAGGTTGGCAGTTAGGACCTTGACAGCGAGTGCTGCAAAACCTTCAATTCCACCTCACACTCAGACAAAGCTGAAAAACCCATGTAAAGTTCTACTAAAATGTGTTCTTCTTTCCATATCCCAACTGGTTCCATGGGTGGGTGCACTTCAAGGCTGTGCTTACTTTCCAGTTGTGAAACAAACAGCTGATGCTTGTGTGCAGGAATAAGGATACTAGGACCTATGTCTTGGACTTGGCAGGACAGGATGGAACTTGGGACATGCTGGACTAGACCAAACAGCCAAAGGGCCAGCTCAGGTGTGACACCTCCCCAGGGAAGATGCTGGTGGCAATTTCCTGGACTCACAGTAGCAACAGCAGAGTTGTGTTTTTTTTTCACAGAGAGAGTGCTCAGGCACTGGAATGTGCTGCCCAGGGAGGTGGTGGATTCACCATCCCTGGAGGTTTTCAAGATGAGACTGGATGTGGCACTTAGCACCATGGTCCAGTGACTATGGTAGGGTTGGACTGGGTGATCTTTGAGGTCTCTTCCAACCAAGTTGATTCAATGATTCTATGATAAATTGGTGTTTGAACGTCACCTCTTTCACACTGGTAGTGCACAAGTGACTGGACTGGGTTGGAGGTCTCTTCCAACCGAGTTGATTCAATGATTCTATGATAAATTGGTGTTTGAACGTCACCTCTTTCACACTGGTAGTGCACAAGTGACTGTCACTGCAGCAACTCCATCTCTGTGACACATCTGCTGTTCTACTGCTGCAGCAGTGCTTCCCATGGGGCCAGATGATGGAGAGAGTAAATAAAATGGATCAGATAGAGCCATTCAAACTCAATTACTCCCTGGTTTGTTCAGCTGCTTTGACTGGTGTTTGAACGTCACCTCTTTCACACTGGTAGTGCACAAGTGACTGTCACTGCAGCAACTCCATCTCTGTGACACATCTGCTGTTCTACTGCTGCAGCAGTGCTTCCCATGGGGCCAGATGATGGAGAGAGTAAATAAAATGGATCAGATAGAGCCATTCAAACTCAATTACTCCCTGGTTTGTTCAGCTGCTTTGACAGCAGCAGAAACACTCCCCCAGGTACTTGATCTTTGTGTCTGAGGTCAGGGAAGGGATGAGTGGGGACAACCATGTCCCCATTTAGTGCAGCCCCCTCTACCCACAGACTTCCCAAGGGGAAAACTTGCTGCCTTTATGCTTCTCTACAATAAAATAAACTCAGCCAAGCCCAGAGGCAGGGCCCTGCCAGGACCCAGTGCCTGCTCTGCAGCTCCTGGGGAAAACATTGGTTCACCCCCATAGTTTAACAAGTGTTTTTTGAAGCACATGTAGCCAGGATTGCCCCAGGTCCAAACAGTCTAGATAGTTTTTTTTTTTTTCCCCCAGAAACAGTGTAAAAATTAATCTTTTACAGTATTGTGCCTTTCTGTGGTAGAGAGCAGTTGTCCCAGCACATTTTCAGGATGATGAATCTTAGTTTAGAGAAACAGAGCTGTTGGATTCATTTATTTTTTTAAATGGAATCCAACATGGCAAAAGAAAAAAGCAAAGTTGTGTCTTGGTTTAAATCAACAGGAGGGTGAGATTTAAAAGAGACTGAAGTATCTCTTAAAAGCTTCTCTGCTTGTTTCTTAAGAGATATACATTGAAAGTATCAATATGAATCAGAAGAAGTTTTTCAACATGACCATTTCAACAACTGCCAGAAAAAACGCTTCCCTTGGCAGGGCAGAGCACAGCACTGAGCCTCCTGGCTCTCCAACAGCATTTGTCTGGAGGCTGTGAAGCTCTAACCAGGCAGAGTCCCTGGGGATAGACACCAGCATGATACCCAAACAAAGTTTTCTTCACATTTATCAGCTATAGTGAAGGAACAAGGACCTGGTTTATGTGTGGTCAGGTTCTCAAACAAATATAGAAATATATATTCAAGCTATCTGGAAAAACAAACATCTGGCAGCTCAGCCAAGAGCAATATACAGCAGGATGCCTGCTCTCTGCCTGTCTATCTGCAGTGCAATCCATGGGGGTTGTACTGCATTCCTTGGATTTCAATTTGTGTGCCCCATTGAGCACATCTGAGGCTGTGCCTGTGTGCTCATGGGTGGCTGCTGCACTCTCAATTCTCTTCCACCAGAGCTGAAAAGTTCAAATAAATTTGCCATTAAGGTTTGAATTATTTTGTTATCAATTATTCATGTTCTTTTCTTTTATAATGCTTGTTTTCTTGCTGGTTCTGCATCAATTCCCTGGCAGTTTCTGCTTTATCAGAGGGATGCTCAAGTGGCATTTGGAGACATGTCACAGCACAAGGGCAAATGTCACTTTTCCAAAGCTTTTGTGTGAAACAGGGAGAAGGGATCAAAGGACATGTGCAAGCTCAGTGCTACCTCCCAGATTTTTGTACAGTTTAGAGTCACATCTTGGACAGTGCTCACATAAATGCCTGCATATAAAATCAAGTTCACTGGCTGACCTCTCCAGCTGCCCTTGGATGAATGCTGTACTCCACTGTGCTCCTTAAAGCCCTCAGTGATTGTTTAAAAAAACAACCAAAAAAAGAATCAAAGCTACCTCTTCCTACAGCCTAGCTACAAGGAAAATGGGGTTTAATGAAGCTGGCTGAGTTTCACCACCATCCTCCTAAACACAGTGCCCATCCCTTGGCCAGAAGTAAATCCCTGATGCTTCAGGAACATAAAATATCTCAGAAAACACTTCATGCACTGTGAAATACTACCAGTGGAGTAAAAGGGAAATGCCTGCCTTCCATGGAGATCTGTCTATCAGTTCATGTGCTGCTGCTGGTGTGCAGCACAAACCCCTTAAATTTCCTTTCCTCAGAGTTAAAAAAAAATGTTGGTGATCAGTAAGTTGTGCTGCTGTTTTTGAAAACCCAGTAGTGTATTTTCTACAGCAAGAGGCAGCAGAGAACAGAATTTAGCCTCCTTGCTAAATGAAAATCTACCTGGGTCCTTCCTATTCATTCTCTCAGTGTTCAAGAACTTAAGAGCAGAGAAGTGTAAAATTTCATCTGCTGCTTTCTGACATGCAGAGGCAGTTACAAACTGTGTGGCTTTCTAGGTACAACCCCATCTGACTGATTTCCTTAGAAAGAGCAATGCCAACTGCATCTCTCCCCTGTCCAACAGCACTCAGACCCAACAGCAGAATGTAAACAGCACTTCTCCCCAGCTGAAACAGCATTGGTGTTTTCCCATTTCACAAGACAGAGGAAAAAACCCAAAACCCCACCAAATACAGCCAAGTGACAGAGACATAATCAAACAGTTAGCTTAAATAAAAATTCTCAGCCAGGGTGCTCTGCTGTTTCACTCAGTCTGAGGGCACTCTGATGCTCAGGGGATGTGCCCAAGGCTGGTGGCTGAGGTTTGGTTCCTCCCAGCTCTGAAATGCAGACATCATCCATCATATGGACAAGTCCACATGCAGAGAGCAAGTCAGTGCACACCTCCCATCTAGCATGGCTGGGGGATTCTTTATTTCTGGGCTAATTCACAGTCTCTCTCCAGCGTTGGATAGGACAATAACGGGGCTGAATGCTGCAAGGGAGAAATGATGGAAGGATGGATTAAATAGCCAACAGCAGTGGTTGCTTTGAGTTGGACTGTTGGATTTGTTTTGCTTAGTTTGTGTTGATCCCCCCCATTTTTTTTCTTTTTCTGTTTTGGTGTATTTTTGGGGGTTTTATAAAGCCCTTCATGCAGGAAGCCCCTGTACCACAGCCTGTTAGATGACAGTGACCAGCACTGTTATCAAAGGCTCCTATACAACCCAATGACACTCAAGAGGGCAAAGTGATGCTTACCAGGTTCTCCACGCCGGCCTGGCTTCCCTCGCCTCCCTGGAGGTCCTGCAGAAAGGAGAGAGCACAGGGTTAGTGATGCTCCACAGACAGTGAGTTCAGGAGTTACCCACCACATGTCCTTCCCTTTGGATCCAGCCCAATTTGTGTCCTACCCCCCTTTCTCAACTACTGAAAAACCTAGTAAGCTGTAGATCTCAAGCACCACATTTTTTCCCTCCCAACATATATAACTTTGGTGAAAAAGCCAAGGTCTGGCTCCTAGGCAAGCTGGGAAGCAAGTCTTAAAGTCATTGGCATTGCCCACATAGTAGAGAGAACCAGGGCTTACATGCTCCAAAATTCTGGAAAACTTTGCAGAGCAGGTGGCAGTGCTGCACAATCTCTGCAGGCTGCAAATGCCTGCTAAAGGCTTGCAAATCACAGTATTCAAAGTATTAAAGCAAGGAATGTAAAGCTTTTGGTACTAATCATTATCCAAGTCTGAATGTTTTTGTGCTGACTGCTGACACAGCCTAGATCTGGTCATGCATTTATAATTTCAGACATAAAACTTGCTTGTATTCTTACCCTCCTGGACTAAGGGATCAATAAAGTACCATAAATGACAAAATACCCTTAATAAAGGAAGAAAAGCCACCATAAAACAATAAAGACAGATGCAGAACCGGCACACAGAGAGAATCCAGGTCCCTGACAAAACCATGTCCTTCATGCTGACATCTTGCAGCTTCTCTCTGCTGCAGCCAGGCTTCCCTGCCTGGGGCCTGGCAGCATCCTCTCCCACAGCACTCTGGAAGAATAAGCCACTTTTTGCAGCCTTCTGCAGCAGGTCAGTTGGCTCTGGTAGAGCATTTGCTGAGTGACAGCAATGTTAACAAAAGGCAAGAACTTGCTTTTTGTTTGGGAAGCTCCACTGCTCCCTCTCCTTTCTGCTGGAAAAGGATGATAAGCAAAGATCACTATTTCTGTGTTCCTATCAGAATTTCCCCTTTTGCATAAACATTTTGGTGCCCAAATGTGAAATTCCATCTCTAGCAATTGGAATTTCAGCCATGGCCTGGAGTTCTCCTCTTTCAAGTTGGGATACACTGTCCAGCACCTCCCATCCTCAGCACACCACATGGCTCCAGCAGACTCCCTGCCCTCCCAGGGGCTGCAGTGGGAGCCCCAAGCCTCACTTGCTCCTTTGCCATGGGAATGACAACTTGCCACCAGAAGCCTTGGGTACCCTCGCAAGGGATTGGTAGAAAATGTCTATTGTACCTCCCCAAGCAACTTGCTCACAAGTTTCTATAGGGGAGGAAAAAACAAAGCATATTTTTAGCCTCATTTATTCTTGAAACCATCTTGCACTCTGGAGAAAGGTTTATTCTCTCCATCAGGAAGTCAAGCTGCTTTGGGAAAGAACCACCACTCTGATGAAGCACCTTTTCCAGCCTTGGAAACCAGTTGTGAACGAGCAATTGAAGCTCATGTATCTGCATCACCCTCTTGGCTAATTGTGGAGGTCTGACCCCCCAAACAGAGCCCAAGGCTCAACAGCCTTCAGCCTCCCTCAGGGTGTGGGAGCTGCTTTAAACACCAGTCTTGCTTAATCCTTCCCTGGCTTCCAATAGACTCCTCCTGGATGTGTTTAATCTAGTGTGGCTCACTCAGAAACTGTCTTACTTTACCTCTGGCAGCAGGCAGAAAGCACAGGGTGTTTTTCTTAGGGAAGAGGAAATGTCCTAATGAAGGTGTAGGAGAGGGAGGCCAAGTATTTAAACAAGTGAGTAATGAGTTGGTAGCAATGCTTTTAGGCAATTTAAAGGAGGGTTGATATCCAAGGGCAAATGCAGACAGCTCCCACATGAAGCTTAGGTTGGAGCCATTCAACTGAGAATGTGAGAAACCAAAGATTCTGTAGACAAAGGAAATTTTATACTGATTTTTTTTTCTTCTTACACTAAAGGGATTTCTTAATACTTCACACCACAAGGGAAAAATACGACTCTTGCCTACACTGGCACAGGTTGTCCAGAGAAGTGGGCAAATGCAGACAGCTCCCACATGAAGCTTAGGTTGGAGCCATTCAACTGAGAATGTGAGAAACCAAAGATTCTGTAGACAAAGGAAATTTTATACTGATTTTTTTTTCTTCTTACACTAAAGGGATTTCTTAATACTTCACACCACAAGGGAAAAATACGACTCTTGCCTACACTGGCACAGGTTGTCCAGAGAAGTGGTAGATGCTATGCTCCAGGTGCAGCATATGGAATAACAAATATACTTTATAAGATATTGCTCGTGGCAACTGTGAAATAAACTAAATCGGAGAGAGGGCAAAGATTGAAATCCATCCTCATCTGTTTTATTTGTTGTTTTTATCTGAAAGCAATTTGGTTAAAAAAAAGTAGCATTTTGGAAACCACATCTAGAATCCTGCTGCCATTCAGTAGCTGGGTTTGGAAATGTCTCTGAGGAGAGAAAATTTTAGTGAGGAGCATCACACCCAGTAGCTACTTGGGGCAAGAGTTGCAAGTCTCAATCCTGTGATGGGCAAGCAGAAGGACAGAGACCTCCTGGTTCCCACAGTGTGAGGACAGCAGAGCACACAGGAGCAACCCAGGAGTCATTAATCCCATCTGCAACCTTGTCTTCTGCAGATGTAATTAAGTCCATGATCTGCACAATTGGAAATTATTATTTTAGCAATTTCCAGCCTGCTCTGGAGACTCAACTTTGGATACTGCTAAAGGAGCTGAACATAAAGTGAATCCATATTACACCTCTTGTTTCCAACTCCTTTAAGAGACTACAAAGGAAATTAAGGAGGCCTGGGAATTTGTTTGAAGATAAATGTGCACTGTAAACTGTTACCTAATGACTCCATCTCCCAAGACCTTGCAGTCTGATGCTTGTTCAATATAATTAAGATTTATGTTGCATAAAAGTCCATTGGGCAATAGCAGAGTCTTTTCTTCTAACCACACCAGCTCCACTGTATCAGTTCTGGGAGGCCTTTATTTACATTGTTATGAAAGGCAGTTTTGGAGAGGAGAATGAATACAAAGCATAACACAGTCTATTTTTAAACAGCTTGTCACGTTCAAGCTAAACAGCCTTAATCCAGGGCACAATATGAAATTTCTGACAACACCATAAGCTTTCCAGTAAGATGATAGATTTAGCAACCCAAAGACAAAGCAAGAGAATGAAATAGATTGTTATTTAGGAATATTATGAGGAAGAGATGATGGATCCACCTAAAGAATAGCTCCTCAAAACCAAGGTAAAATGTTCACAGTAAACACTCACAATTGCTGTGTCACAGCTACTTATGTCATCTACCGTGAGCAAGTAAATGAAATATTAAAAATTAACATCACTTTATAGTTCACATAAAGTATTGTCAAAAGCCACAACCACATACTTGTCCACAGTGTGGTAAATAACCTTTGTTTGAACTAATTTACCCACTGCAAATTGAGTAGCTACAAACTGGGCTGCTCAATGAAGACCATAATTCATCAACACAAGGAGAAGAGGTCTATGGCACTATGGATCTTTTTACCCCTTGTGATTAAATCAAACTTGGCCCTTGACTCATGGCCCCATGGTTGGGAGGCTGTATTGCTGCCTCTTATCCCTTCAGCTGCCTGGGAAATTACTGTTGGGCATAAGGTAAATCAATGTTCATTGAGGACAAAGTGAGTTTAAAATGCTCACAAGAAAAAGAACTTGGTACCACAGCCCAGCAAAACCTTGGTGAAGACAGTCAGTGCTTTTTAAATGTTATGCTAGTGAAGCACGTTTTACCCAAGAGATTTTGGCACTAATTTGCACTCTATTTTTCCCTGCATTTCCCCTGTACTTCACCCTTTTCTATTCAGAATGTATACACAGATGTGTTAACCATGAATCTGGGCCCATTTGTTCCTTCAAGTCATGTGCTGCTGAGGCTCTTGGGGATCTTTTTGTTTCCTGGGTATGTTGATCCAAAGAAGCAGTTGGGAACAACATTCAAGTAAAATCCTTGGCCAAGTAAAATCATGACCTATCTTACTGGATCTTTAAATCAAAGGGTGGTTTTTTTTTTTTCTCTTGTAAGCATGACATGATGGGTTGATCATGTGACCTCCTAATCATGAATGTTAATGTCACTTGTAGGGCCTTATTTTCTAGAGAATCCCATATGTAACACATTGTGCTCTAACATGGAATTAAGTTTTGCACCATTTTTACACCACTCACATGGCTGCACTTAAATTGGGTTTTTTTTTTGTGAGCTTCCAATGGTTTAACTTCTTTCCTCTTCTTCCCTTTTGGCATTTTTCAAGTTGCCTTTGATATATCAGTAGGTTTTTTCAGTTAAAAATGAATCAACCAGAAGAATATATTGAACAAATTGGTTGGTTCAGTTACTCTTAGAAAAGTGGACTTTTTTTTTTTCATATGGCTTCACTTAGAAGGAAGGAGAACTTTGCAGGAGTGTACCATGGGGTTTGGTATTGAGCACAAGGAAACCATGGCCCCAGTCTAGTGGCTGTTCCTGCACAAAGGCCAATTTACTTTCCTGTTCCCTAGAGAAAAGGTTTATGGTTCATGGGCAGAAGTCAGATTCTGCAATGCTTGCTCAGCTGATACTCATCAGGTATTCAAGTTGGACTGTGGCTCTGAGACCACAGATCTAAGATTAAACTGTTTTGGGTCACAACATTTTGCATGAACCTTTTTGGCTTTGGGTTCCAACAGACCTAAAGATTCAAAGCAAATACCAGACACAGGTTGGAAACATGAAGCACCTACAGTCTAGAGAAGATTTCCAAATAAAATGAAAAAAAAAATCATATCTAGTTCCATTTCAAACTTGGCCTAAGTGCCCCCAAAACTCTCTGAAATCCTGGGTGACATTCTGTTAGCAAAAAGCCACCCAGAAAGCAATCTCTGGTTGTTAGCTGGGGAAAGCTCCTTGCAGTTCAATAAGTGATCCAATTGCTTTCAAGATACAGAAGCAGCAAGAAACTGTTTTCCTTCTTATACCTTCATGCAGTCTTTCTGAG